ATTTTGGAATTACATAAAAATTGATTATTTCATTACAAATTTTTGAATCAATACAACATTAGAATGTAATACAATATAACATTGAATCAATACAACATTTGGATTTCCTTATCATAGCTGAAAAAAATTGATCTTTCTATTCCAAATATACATGGGATAACTTTGTTATCAAAAGTCTAAAACGTGCAACAATTTCCATAAACAAGTGGTGGCAACAATTGAACTCGTGTCTTTTGTATGCTCGAATACCATGTTAAATCACATCCTTAAAGGTTGTGCTCCTTACTTCTACACGTGGTACTTCAAATCCAATGTGGTTGTAACATGCTTGGCCAAAACGTCGAACTTTTGGTCTTAAAGACTTTGCTGCTCGCCCACCATCAACACCAAATTCATTGAACCTACAAGCAGATAAATATATGTTACTGGAAGAAATTAGAGAAGAAACAAATATGTAGAGAAAATTAGTGGACAAGAAGATGAGTCATATTTGAGGCCATGGATCTGGACTAGGAGGTATACACCTCGATATTGCTCCTACCAACAATGGAACAATATCAGGGATATAAGGAGCAACATTTTCACTCCCAATCTCTGTTAATGTACCAAGAAGTTGTAAATAAACTGAAGTCTTTTCTTCATCATGGCTAATCCTACCAACTACCATTTGAAGCAGAGGTAACTATTCAGGTGTCATGTAGTCATTCTGCCAATCCAGAACTAGGAGATCATACTTAATTGATTTGACTTCAAGAAAAATGATACCAAGTTAGAACTTTCTTACTTCATCAAGTTTCGCAATTGCACTAGCAGATGATGTCCGGTCAGGGAAACATGAAAATTTGTCCGTCAGGCATTGTCAACACTTTCACGAGTTCATTTGACAATACAAAAGATCCTCCTTTGATTATCGGAGCAAATTAAATTCTATTATCTTTTTCCTATACTAGTTTCAGTCTTAATGCTTAATCATATATCCCTCCAGTGAAAAATAAAGCTACAGCATAATAGCTTTAATAATCACCATATAGCCTCGTATTTAAGACTCAAATTGAAAGATCATATCCTTACATACACATATAATATTACCTCAGAGAGGGCAGCCAGAAGGAGAATGCGGTTATAGAGAGATTTTGATCCCGGCAACTTGACGGTGCTAGAGATGTCTTTGATAGGCTGCAGCGCTATCTCCGACGCCATAAACGGCTTCTCGACGGTGGCCACCGAAGCTATAACCAAACTGACCTATTTTACACAGCAAAACTTGAATCTTTACTCGAAACCCTCAAATAATTTGATGAACTTTTAACTTTTTGAGCCAAAAAACACAGATTGTGATGGCAAACAAGAAGATTTAGGTTTAGAGCATTAGAGCCAGAAAATTCTAAAAGAAATCAATTTCGCATCGGAATTTGTAGAGATGCAAATCCTCAGAAAACTTCTTATTCTCCTCCTCCAATTTGTGGACCCGAATCACTGCTTCCTTTGCCCTCTCATCTGCCTCGAGAACTACTTCGATTTAAGATCTGAAGAATCGACGATAGCTAGAAGAGTCTGAAGAAGGAAAGACAAATGAATTGGGTATGTTTGTAAACCTAAGACTTCGACGGTCATGTTAACCCAGTCCATAATTAAAAAAATTGGCCCAACCCAATTCGCCTACCCCTTTACTTTTTGTAACATTTAATAAACGTTGCAAAAAGTACTTTTCTTGCAAAAAGTACTTTTCGCAACGTTTAATAAACGTTGCGAAATGCACTTTTCGCAATATTTAATAAACGTTGTGAAATGCACTTTTTGCAACGTTTATTAAACGCTGCAAAAAGTTGATCTTTTGTAACATTTAATAAACATTGCAAAAAATCAAACTTTTCGCAACGATCAACAAACGTTGCGGAAGACACTTTTTGCNGTCTAATAAACGTTGCAAAAGGATAAATTTTTTGCAACTTATACTAAGCGTTGCGAAAGGTGACATTAGCAACATTTTCTTATCAAATGTTGCCAAAAGTCAATTATAGTAACCCAATAGCAACATTCACTTATTAAAATGTTACGATAGACCTCTTTAGAAATACTTAACTACTGAATGTTGTCTTTTATGTGTTGCAAATGCTCATTTTTGGCGTAGTGGTTCCCACAAAGTAAAAAAGCAAAAATAAAAATATTAAAAGAAAATTAAAAACGATTAAAGTACATCTGTTGGCTCCACAATTAAGCAATCGGGTACTTACGGGGATATTGATAATAGATTAGATCCTTACAACCTTTGCCGGGATATAAAGGATGAGTATGGTCCTCGATAAATTTTGTAACAACCCATTTCCCAGAGCTTACTTTTCTAACTAAAATCATGGCCATGCAGCCAACTCTTGTTGCAGCTCGTTGCCGTACAATCTTTTCACGCTTGTCAGGCATTCTGAAACCCTCTTTATTACAAACAAGTGCACGACCAATGGCAGATCCATTGCTCCTTGATCGAGAAAGCTTGCTCACACGGATGATGAACCCCAATCGCATTGCATGTGCATTATAAAATGAACGTGCTTCTGCTTCGGATTCAAAC